AAATATTATAAAGTCAATTAACGCGCAACATAACTACGAAAATGAAATAAAGAATTTAAATATCAAACCCAAATTTAGAGTCGGAGATCGAGTTCGTATTTTCTAATATAAAAGTAAATTCGAAAAAGGTTACGTTGGATACTGGACGAACGAAATATTTATCGTTGATAAAGTAAACACCACATCACCTCCAACATATGAATTAATCGATCAAGACAAAGAACAAATCATAGGTAGGTTTTATCAAAACGAACTTCAAAAAACCGACTTTTAAAAATGAATGAATTTCTCGATAAATATGGAACCGATACAACCACAAACTTTCAACTTATGAGATGGGCGAATGAGTTAAATATATCACCGTTTTATTATTGTATGAGAGATGAAATAAATGATCTGAAATATAAGAAAGGTAAATTTTACGCTATAACAAATATACATACTTCCGATCAAAAAGGAGTTCATCATTCTGCTTTGTACAAAGACTCTGACTTTTATTTCTTCGATTCTTATGGATTAGAACCCACTGAAGAGATAATCCAATTGACTAATAAACCAATCAAATGTTCAACATTTCAAATTCAATTATCGGGACAAAAGTTTTGTGGTCAGCTTTCACTTTGGGTTTTATATCAGTTGAGTTTAGGAAAACAGTTCGAAGAAATTATAATAAATTTAACTCAATAAAAATGGCGAATAAGTTTCGATTAGGTTCTTTATCTTTAGAAACTAAAAACCTAACACTACAGCGTGGATAAATAAAGCAAAACCTTACTTTGTGGATCAAATCGGAGACACTCTTCAAGGTGATTTAGATATGAACAATTTTAGCATAACTAATTTAAAGTCTCCGGAAAACGATAATAATGCCATTCACAAGAAATATTTAATGGAGCAATTAAATTTAATTGAAATAGATAAAGACTATTTAAAAGAAAGGATAAATGATGTGAAAAGATTCTTCAAACGACAAATGAATAATAACGATTTTATTGATGATACTAAACTACAACAAGAAGTAACAAGTTTAAAAAGTTTTATTCAAAAAGAATTGGTCAACGTAGTGAACAAAACTGAGTTACAAAATTTAATTTCATTAATATCTAAATTAGAGGATAAGATTGCAAAACAAAAATTAGACATTCAACAATTGATAGATAACATTCCAGATGAAAATGAAGATACGTTTCAACAGGAATTAAATGCTCTGGAAACTTAACTTAACAGTGAATTACAAAAAGAACTAACAAATATTAAAAAACAAATACAAAACATAGATATTGTTATTCAACAACAAATACAAAACATAGATGATAGTGAAATTAAAACCTATATTCATCAACAAATACAGAACATTGATGATAGTGTTATTCAACAAAACAGATAACCACTATTAATAACCTAGTTTTAAAACAGGACAAAAATATACTCGCATTAGAAAAAAAGTTTCTCAAGAAAGAATCATATTATTTCAATCTTCCATTTGGAAATTTGAGAGATTACGTTGCTTCTATTACTGATAATATTGATAAATCAAAAGACTATGAATATAAAAAATATGGATTTACAGCAAATATAAGAGTATATTCTGTTGCAAATCGTGATATTTCCCCCCAAGATATTTTTGATAAAGTTGATCATATAGTTTATCAACCAATATTTTTTGATTTCCGAGGACAACTTATAATTGAAATAACTTTCCCTTTTCAGGTAAAAGTTGATTCATTATTCTTCACACAAGGCTTCTTCATACAAGGCTTACGTAGACATAATAAAAAATTTAACGCTAAAAAAGTTCTTCAGTTTATCAATGGTACAAAAAATGTAGAAACTAAAGAATATGAAAGTAACGACGAAAACAACAAGGTTAATCACTTATATGAAATTAAAACGAGTGGAAAATATTTAGATAGGTTTAGAATGTTAATCATACAAGATAAAGAAGAAGATGAATTTATATTGAGTGATTTTGATATGTTATTGGAGACGGAAACTCCACCATCAATGAATACTATTAGAAATCCAAAACCACAAAAAAAAGATATAAGCTTTTATGAGTTTTTACGAGCAACAGACTTTGAATACGTAAAACTATATTTTGTTGATAATGGTAAATTTACCTCAATTGATATTCATAAAAGTCAACAAAAACAAAATTTTTTAATAAGAGATGATGCATATGTTAATATAATAATCTATATTGAAAAACCAAAATTTTCAGTTCATCTGAATAAGATTAATGATTCGAAATAACAAATATCGTTAGTATCTGTAAAAGTTTTTATTGAAGATAGTAAACACGAAGTATCTTTATCAGAAGTTCACTTAATTTAATTACCTAAAAATGGAACTCGAAAGTAGACAAAACTAAATGATAGAAAAACAAAACGAACTAAAAGAAAAACTAAAACAATTCAACAAATGCAGAAAAACATGGAGTAGAATCGATTCTGTTTTCAAAACATTAAGTACAGTTTTAACAATAGGGATAACGGTAGCAACAGCCGTAACCGGTGGATTAATTTTTCCAATAATTTTCCCAACTGTATTAGCCGCGTTCACTGCCGTTCAATCTTCATCTTGTGGTTTGATTACTTTAGGTTTTACATCAAAACAGAAAGCTCATTATAAAAGGAAAACAAAAATTTTAAATACATATCTTAATAAATTGTTTATATTTTTCGAAAGATCGAGAGAGGATAAGAACATAACCATTGAAGAATTAGAAGAATTCAATGAAATTTTAGATAAATTTGATGTAGAAATATCATCAATAAAAGTTAAAAATTCCTAGTTAAAAATAGTTGCTTTAAAAATATGAATAAAATTGAAATTGTAGACGATAGAAAATTCATATCAATGAAAATTTTAGACGATATTATTGACAAGATTATCTCTGATGAATTAAAAAATATGAAAAAAATTGATAAATTCATATCAAATGAAATTTTTTCCGATGTTATTGACCTTATATCTGATGAATTTATAACATTTAAAGGGCAAATTGAAGTAGTTGGAGAGATAACTCAAGATGGAAAATACAAACAAGACATGAAATTTGTAGGTTTTAATACCAAAACTTTTGTCAATTTCTTCGCTGCAGTGGATAATTAATCGGATGCCTCCAATTGGTATTTCACAGGAAAAATGATTTTCCATAAAAACAATTTCAAAGAAATAAAAAGATCAAAAAAGGTTAGTGGTGTTACCCTACTCAAAAAGATAAAAGAATATATTGGTATAAATTGTTATATACCGAGCGATGGATACTGCTTTGTAAAGTGCGTTAATCGTGTTTTAAACGAAGACTACACGAGAGAATTTCAAGATTTCATCAACACTTTTTCAAAATCAAACAGAAAAGGAGTTATGACAACTGCTAGAATCTGCGAATTCAATTAGAAATTTAATACTACTTTTCAAATATATATGCCCAAACATAGACATTTTCAACCAAAGAAAGTAACCGAAGAATTAGATTGGGTTTTTTATTTACACAAAGAACATTTCTGTTTGATAAGAAGAAATAACAAAGCTTTGGGCATTAAAGAAATAGAAGATAATTACGATGAAAACGTAAAACTAAACGTTTTTCCAACCATTCCCGATTATTGTTTATACGCATGGAAATGCGAAACCTATTGCGAAAAAGAAACGAATAAAGCCATTCCTTATTGTTGTACTTTAGTCAATTTGGAAAAACTGAGGAAAAGGTTAGATGATTATAAAAATTATTTAAGTGATTTTTATGAGACTCTAGATTTTTAGCCGTCAGATCCCATTTCAGAAGAATATTACAACATACTCATGACTAATATAGTAGAAATATTTGTAGGTACAGATTGTATAGATCAAATGTTACAACGTTTAGGAAAAGTAGATCAGAAAAGACTAACCTTAATTTCCCATAACGGCAGTGGTTTTGATAACTGGATCATGATCAAAAACGTAAAAAAAACTAACACAATGCCCTTTAAAAACAGCTACAGGAATTCTGTCTCTACCTTTAACTAATTCATTCACTGATGAAGATTTACAGAAAAAATGGAAAAGACAGAAAGAAATAAAGGGTAACCATTCCTCGACACTTGAAAAAGGATAATATTTCGAAAACCGGTTCGTGTCAATTGCGTAAGTTTTTGTTTTACTTGTTATAATTTTTCACATCATTGTTAGCGTTATTTATCACCTAAATATATATTTTTGCATTTTTCATCATAACTTTCATCTTACTTTATATATCCCCAAACCCAGTTTGACTTATTTGCATAATTTGATCCCCACATTTTCACGCTAGCATATACAGTTTCCTCCTGTTACATGCGCTGTACATTCCCTTACTAACCTCAAGTTATTTTCATTATGCTCCCCAACTACAACAACCACTGGCAAGAAGCCAGACATAGAAACACTAATCGTCAACCAAACCAATATCACGTACCCTACAACGGCCCTGTCTTCCATCGACCTCTACCACCTACCAATCAACCCATCCAGCTATATCCCACCCCATCGCCGACCTACCTACAACACCTACCAATCAAGAGGTAACCATCGACCTGACCAACAACAGAAACGACTACCAGCCCACCGACGCCAACCAGTCCCCACTCATAAGGAGGAAGAACCCTTTGTGAAGGTGTTCTTCCAAGTTTTGCAGTGCCTCCATCATTTGGCAATCCTTACCCTTCAACAGCAAGGCCAACCAGCGTTTACCTTCAAACGCAAAGTCTCTGAGTTGGATAGTTTTATCCGTCCAGCAATGAAAACCTCAGCTAGCTGTTGACGCGAATATTAGATCCCTCAATCGGACATGGCTCTCTAAGGTTACGCAGGTCCTGATCGACCATTACCAAATCAAACTTCAAGAGAAGCTGACCACCATTCGTACCAAGTCTTTATCATCAGCTGCCGTCGACCGCATCGTTTCTCATGCCCTGTCCTGGGCCCGCCGCTCCTATGGGAAACGTCTCACTCAAGCTGTAATCACCAAGTTCTACCAAACAATCAACGAAACAAAAACCAGAGTAACCATATCTCTACCAACTGAAATGGACACTACACCTGCACCATCTAGAGCCACGACGCTGCCGAACCAAACCCCCAAACGAGCCCGAAGTTCACCTACTCCTAGTCTAGCAGACATAGGTAAACGCTCTCATAGAGAAGGCACTCCCCTTCTCTTTTCACTTTCAGACTCGTCTTCCCCTTCCACACCATCTGAATCTTCACCACGTGATCCAGGATCCGCCAACCTTTCTTCCTTCTGTGCGTTTTTGGACCAGCAAACCACCCCTCAGTCTCCATCCAAGTCCAGACGTATATCCAGACCTTCCCCTCCTCGAACCAGATCCCAGTCCGTTCCCAATGCTACAATTCTAACAACTACCAAACCAGTACCAATCACACCGTCGACGACCATTATATCCGCTACCAAACCGTATTATCACCAAACCAAGGACAAATCATTATGGAAACTACCCGCTCTAAAGAAATCTACCTTAATTATTGGAACATCTAACCTGAATCGAATTACCAAAACCAGTTCAGACACTGAAATACATTCTTACCCCGGTGCCCAAATCCATCAGATACAGTCAATCCTGGAATCATACGACCATGATCCCAAACCTACTACCATTATTCTTCATGTAGGCCTCAACAACCGTGATCAGCTACCAAAGACCTCCTTTAACCAAGCCCAGAAATTAATCGCCACAGCCAACAAAACCTTCCCAAACTCCAAGATCTTCTTCACATGTATACCCATTTCAAATAAAATCTCGAAGAAAGCACAACAGAACCTCAGCACTCTCAACAACATGATGATGGAGTCCAGTATCAACAGCGCAACAATCTTACCACCCTACGAAGAAGAATTCGAACCAGTTGATAATCTTCATTGGTCTCCAGAAACAGCAACAGCATTTATTTGTTTTGGATACACCAGCTTCAAGCATCGAGTAAGTCTTTAAACTAATTACTGGGGATAAAAATACTGAGAGGCCACCGCTAGGCCAAACTGTAGTTAACTTGAGTCGCAAAATTCTCACACCTCTTCAGCAGTCAATCTTAGACCGTGGACTTAAATTTATTCCCACACCAAAGATAGCTAACTTGAATTATCTCCGACCATCCATTGAACGATTTCAACGAAATCTTAGCTGCACATATTTTTTTCGAAACCACCCCCCCACGTGGTGCTAGAACAATGTTTATTCCTAAATCCGCGTGGACACCCCCTCAGGCCGCCATCCATCCTGAAATATTGAAATCATTTGCGAGTATGAT